GGGGGGGGGGGAATCCAAATTCAAACCGTCTGCCGGACCACTCCACACCCACCCATTATATCAACAACACACCAAACCAGTCTATGGGTAATTTCAATATTGCGCGCTTGTGCTTGCACGGAACAATGTTTCGGTGTTCGTCACCGTGAGGGACGGGGCTGACGAAGGTCCTCGGGCGATCAACAGGCTAAACATGTGGCTATCGATAGTACGACGAGTATCATGGTATATCTTGTCACCAATACACAATAAAAATGAAGGAGGTCAGACCGTCTCAATGAAGCGATAGCTTCAGTCACAACAATATCCAGTGGTCGAGGCCGACGAGGTTGTTATGTGCTTGTTACATGCTGCTGGCAATTACAGCTGTGCGATGCACGTACAGATGTAGCGGTTGATGGGAGACGACACACAGGTCGTACGTGGGCGGGTGGGTTGCCGCTGTAATTGGTTTCTCTCTGCGAAAATTGTCACTACTGGCGACACGTACCTGTACAGGTGTGATGCGGCTGTGTTCTCCTAGCTCGCTAGTTCTGACGTCCGTATTGACGACCTCCTCCCCGACCTCTCTCGTGACGGTGTCTAGCGAGCCTTGCAGCTGATCGGCATCGCCGTGGACGTTGCCGTACTCGAGCTCCGTGATGTTGGCGCACGCAGTTGTGCCGGACGCTCCGGCGAACGTCAAGCCGTGGGTCGAGTTGAAGTCGGCGTAAACGAAGTCCGCCGTTGTCGTTGCTGATACAATTGCTGCTGCAACGCAAGTACAGTACGAAACACGTGCACGCTTGGTCTAGTCTACAGTAGTAGGTTCCGCAAACAAACGCACCCAGCGACCTTCAAAACTATCTCGTGCCATTTCGACAAGTGTGTCTGATCTTTCTCTTTCTGTTTGCACAAAACAAACGAAAGAACAGATATATACTGTCGGCTTATCTGCGTATATCTTTGTTGTCGTTAACTTGCATAAATAATCCGAGTTGGTGTTCTTCCATCGTATCTGCAGCGGACTGCCTGTACTCTGCCGTCACATGGTACGGCTGTTGTCGGACTGCACCATTCACTGTTGTAAATGAAACTTTTGCGACGGGGCTTGAGTCTTGTGTTATCACCGATGCACAGCGGGGTGGGGTCTCTTGTCTTTCCAAGGGCACAGGTCACGGGTGCATGCATCAAGCCGGTGTTGGGATCTATCTGACCTTGGGTGCAGCAGAATATCCCTCGAAATCCAAATCCTATGGCAATCGCCGGTAACGCCGACGCGGGCACCATTCTCGCCCGTTTAGGCATTAGTTGCCGCTTGGTGCTCCTCCCAATCTCTGCTAGAATCCTGTGGCTCGATCGACGTGAGAGAGAGAGCGAGAGAGAGGCTGCTCACGCGCACGAATCTCCACGGATGTGGACTCGGATTTGCCACCGTCCCCCGTCGCACGACCTCCAGGCGGCGGAAATACCGAATGGGTACAAAGAACGTTGTGGTCATGCCGCAGGTTTGTCCTCTGTGCCCCCCCCCCCCCCCCCCCCCCCCCCCCCCCCCCCCCNGGTGCATAGCTTGCTGCTTCTGGGTTCCTTGCTTACCTCACTTGAAGCCCTGCTTACATCTACAGGAGGGTGAGTGCTTGCCGAGGGGCTTTTGCTACTACGGCGGGGATGTGGAAACAGTTACTCTGCTGCTGTAGTCCAAGTGCTGACGTCAACATGGTGTTTTTCCTTTTACACAGCAATGATCCTTCAGCGCATCCTCAGGTTGATGCTGGTGAGTTCCGGCGGCAGACCTGTTCTGCTGGACAAGCGTCCGTCTTGACGTGCGTCCAACATATTCTCGTATGGTGTTGCTTCCTCACTTTCGTTGCATGACCGGCAGAGGGTGACACCTGAAGAGCCCAGGCAGAGGTCGGCAGTGACACACACAACTCGTCTACTTGTACCCCCCCCTTGTGAAAGGATCTCAGTCTGGCTCCCTGCTACCACTGCATTCTCTCTGAACGAAGCGAAGTCACGAAAGACAGGAGTAGCTACTAGTGGGGTGTGGTTGATGACGAACGGTTTTCTTGGAAGCTTCGGCCACGTGAGATCCCAGCCCGAACCCTGCAGCAGTAGTCACCCCGACTTTATCTCTAGGTTTGTCTGTTTTGTCTCTCCCCCCCCCCATGCAGCCGCCACCCACTCTACCGCCCCCACGCTCTCCCTCTCTCTCTCTCTCTCTCTCTCTCTCTCTCTCCTCGGAGAAGGGTATATATATAGATGCCCACCCTTCGCCACCAAGACCTCTTGGTGTGGCAAGGTTGCCTCCCTGAGGATAACCCCTTTAATTCCGCCTTAGAAATGACTGCTGACACTTGTTGTCCAGCATCATCTGTCGCCTCCGCTCCCTCTCCCTGACAGACCGAACGAGCAGCTGTTGGTCGAAGGTGGTTTATTTTCGGCCCGTCGTCGATTTGGTGTTATTCTTCGATTCCGTATCGGTTGAGGTGTTGCTGCTTTCTTAGCGGACTATGCATAAATGTTCATATCGTTCCGTTCCTTTGTTCCTCATGGAATCATTTCGAAATCCCATCTCTGACGACACACTAGCCCATGATAAACTTCCGGTGTCTTGCGTATGTGACCCCTCCAACATTCTTTGGGGCCCTTCTCGTGTCTCTGCCAAAACATAAACCGGCACAGGTTCCCCCCCACTTCCATCCGCTCGACGTGGGCATCGTCATGCCCGCCCTGGACGTCTGCCGCCTCTCCCGAAGATGTGGGCAGCAAGTCGTGGCAGCAGCAGCAACGGCAGTGCGAAGAGTCCACTCGAGCGGAGGCTATCGATTCCGTCTGGAGGTCGGCTCTCACGGCAGGGGGTGGGGCGGCCGTGGGGGCACGAGCGTTGCTAGCTTCTCCGCAGCCGGCCTCCGGCGAAGCGGTAGCGGCAGGTGCGGTGGAGGGAGGGGAGGCGGCGTCGACGCGGCGGGTTTCCTCGGCGATGGAAGGCTTGGAGCGCATCCCCTGGCGGGAAGAAGGGTACCTGTCGTGGGAGTACGACGGGCACAAGATCAACTACGTTGACGAGGGGGACAAGAGTAAGGTATGCCAAGGAGGCATGGAGGGGATGAGAGAGACACACACACACATATAGACACACAGAGACCGAGACGGAGAAGGTGGGAGTCACAGAGACAGATGAGAACGCTGGTGCTGAGGGATGACGTTGCCGCCGTGGCGAGGGTACTCTCTTCATGATGTTGGTGGCTAGGTCTCCGATCTTTCCGGTCGCGAAAATACGCCCATGACTTGAACATAAATATGTACCAGGTAGTGACAAGGAGACACTTTTCAATGGCTGGTACGTTTGCACCAGGGAATAGAAAAGCCTTTACGAATTGATGGCCACGACCGTTGTTTTGATGCATCGGTTATGGTCATGGTCTTGTTCTGGACCGACCGGTGGTTATTGACTTCCACAAGCTCCTCGATACGCCCCCCTAGCCTTCATCACCAGGCGAACTTGACGCTTCCCTTTACGGCATAGTTAGTGTCCTGGCCACGTTACCCGGACACCCACTCCCTGTGTGGAATACCACGAACCCCCCTCCCCCCCGGCAGGCTATACGACCACTGTGGATGTGGACGTACTGTACGGAAAACCCTCCGCCCTTCCCCTTGACCGTTTCCGAACAACATGGACTTGTTAATCACCATGGAGGCGTCGCTAAGTACATAGTCCGGAGCCCCCTCCCCCCCCCCCCC